TTTTTTTTTTTTTTTTTTCTTCTTTAATTACAAATTGAATTTTAGATGTTAAAATGTATTTTAATAAGACTAGAAATAATAATAATAATAAATACATGATTTCTTTAATTGAAATCTTGAGTACGGAATATTACTAAAGGTATCGAGTTGTATGTCTCTTAATAAGATGTAATTCGAGGATGAACCAAATTAGAAGCTAGTGGGAATGTAATAACTGAGTAAAAAAACAGTACGTGAATGAATCGAGACTACTTTTGAATGAGAGTGATCCTGGAGATAGAATGATCGAGAAAGACTTCAAATAATTAACAAGGTATATCATCTTTAAGTCAAGCATGTGTTGCTTGGAGTAATAATACCTGGGTGTCCTCCTACAAATTTCCCTATGATTAGCAAATTACTATAGGCGGTTCGTCCAAGGGTTTTTACGACAAGTCGCTCTATTAGCAGAACTTGTGAAGAAAGACCACTATGGGTCGTGGTTATGTCAAAAGGCCTTTGAAATCTGAAATCAACCATGACGAGGGGCCTATCCTTGGCTTGGTAGATATCTCTAAGCCCTTCGAAATAGAGACAGATGCATCCGACTTTGCTTTTGAGGGTGTCCTTATCGGGTTTGGCTTGACATGGGATAATCTTTACTTTTAGAATTACTTTCAAACAAATAGGTGATATGGTCATCTCCTAAGAAAATATCAGAATCATGAACATGGAGGGTTACGTGGAGTCTTTACTTTGAGAAAGTCATTTAGCCCTTTTTTTTTTTTCTGGTTCTTTTAATTGATAAGGACTCATACATTTCCCATTTCCAAATTATTTTAGGATCTAATTTTAAATTAACAAAGACAACTCCACTTTGCCATTATGCACTTTATATTTTAATTTCTAAAAAGTACACCAAAAAATCACTGTGATGGGCCATTTTTAGATCTCATTCTCTCTATAATTCATAATTTCTTTTATAGACATATTTAAATTATTGAAATATTTATTGGGTAGTCTAATTTTTTTAATATACATATACTATTTAAATAAAATGGGCCTAAAATAATTAAACTCTTCCTTGTTCACACACTACCATTTTAGGCAAGAGATGAGCATCTTCATTTCTTGCCTTTTGGCACATGGAGACACACTTTTTGAAGTTTTCTAAATTATTGGACCCTTATTACACTATACATTATCATGGGTTTGTAATTAGCTTTTGTTGTTGCCAAAACTAAGATAGGATAATGCACTCGTTCAATACGATAGAATTTGGATGAGCCCGTTTTAGGAGTAATCATTTTTAGTTGCCAGAGTTTTTAAACATCGTTTCTTTGATCTTATTGGGTAAATGTCCTCTTGATTTAAAAAGATGGAAGTTGATTTTTACGAGTTAATTTTACATGTTCGTGCTCAAATTATTGAGAAAGATGAAAACCAATGTCTCAGGAAGCTAATTTCAACCGCTCTTAAGTATTTTTTGGATTATCCTTAAGATTGTTAATCAAATCCCGTTCATATGACTATTTTCATTGGTTTTTCGATCGCTCCCGAGAGTTAAATAGTGCTCAAATCATTGAATTAACTTTTATCCTTTTAACTTAAACCGACATATGAAGATTATTTTTATCACCGAAAAATAACTTTAAAACCCACCTTTCGAATTTTAAAATATAAAAATTGTTTATAAAGAGGACTTTAATAAAACTAAGGAACATAATAAATGGATGAGTCCACCTTAATGCCCAACCATCATAATACCCATGCTTTGAATATATGATGTAATTGATTAAGACCCCCATGATTTCTTTGGCCACGTCAAATAATTAATTTATTTATTTATATTTTTTTAGTTTAAAGGTCAAAGGATTCCTTTAGAATGCAATAAAATTGCATCATTAATTTCATTAAAATAAACCCACTTCACCCTTTCAGCTAAACCTGCCAAAATCACCATATATTGAGTTATTAATGTCATCAACAAAATAATACCTCTGACCCAGCCTGTACTAAAAGAGCCATCAAAACCAATTATGTCACTTTTCACCCAATTCAACCTGCTCAAATCTAATATTCTACTGTTACAATCAATCAACATGAATGAACAAACGAGAACATAACAGATACTCTCAACTAAAAGCTAAGACATCACAAACCTGTAGGAGACACGTCTGAAACCAACTCGCGCACATTCAAATAGAACAATTCAAGCTAGAAAAATGGATTTTTTTTTTTTCCTTCTTGAACACTTCTTCCCAAACATATGCACAAGAAACAGCAAGAAAGCATGCATGTTTTAACCCCCTTGAAGTAATTTTCTTTTTCAATCAATTTCGAACCAAGTAAATATTCACCAATCTACTCAAAGACCAGGCAAGTAAATCCAGAAATCCCAGTTTATACATATTCAAATTGACAGTGACAGTTCCAGCTTCCTAAGGAAAGTTCAAGAAAATGCATGAAAATATACAAATCTTACCACTGGAAGTAAATTTTTACCCACCAATTTCCAAACAGGATAAATATTACCCAGTCTGCTCAAGGCAAGCAAGTCCAGAAATCCCAACATATTCAAATTGACAACGACAACTGAAGGTTCAAAAAATGGAAATATTTCTTCTTTTTTCTTTTTTCCAACTCCCAAACTAAAGTTACAGAAAATATACAAATCTAACACCTCGAAGTAAATTTTTTTGCAATCAATTTCCAAACAAAAATATTTTCCAATCTGCTCTGAGACAATCAATCAGCCAGCTGTGGGGCACACATTGATTGCAAAGAAACTGATCAAGCTGAGAAACATAAACATAATACAGTAGCCTTCTGGGACAAGGGGAAAATAATAGATAAGGGCTAATTACAAAGAGATTAATTCTTTTTTTTTTCTTTTTTGTTTATCAGCAAAGAGGGAGTGAGAAAACATACCTATAGACGTATATATCAGAGAAATGAAAGCAGAATTTTGCGCAAACCATAGATGTAGCAGGAGGCCTCTGCTGAGAGATCTTGCGTGGCAGCTTAAATGCCATGATCAGCTGAAATAGTGTTCAGAAACCTAACATTGGTGCCAATTTTAGGTCTCCACTCTGTTCTGCCTCTCACAATCTCAGCCCCATTCTCAAACCGAAGCAAGTGATTGCACGCAATGTCTCCAGCAGTTGCCAAAGTCCCAACATCTGTGCCAGTGACAGCGGTAAGGGACTGCAGGACACTGTCCCTTGCGCATTCCCTCCGATACTCCAAAGTGATGGAAGAAAGTTCATGACTCTCTAAAATTGGTGGCGGGGCACTCTTTAGACCATCAGCATTGTTTTCCAATCAAAGAGAGATACAGCCAAGCTTTAGAAGAATAGTTGACGGTATAACATTTTGGAGATATGTATAAGAAAGTATATCATTATTTTGGCACAGTAATAGATGAGAAGGAACCATGAATCAGAGTAACTCTTAAACAAGGATAAGCAATGTCAGTTTTATCTACCTCAAGAATCCAGCCAATGTACTTCACATTATTAACATGCTGGTTGACATCTAAATCACTCCATTTAGGCTGCAGTATAGAAATGTACGCATTGTGAGAGGAGCAACACAAAAATTATAATTGAACCAACTTCTAACTTAAACATCAAAATGAACATAAACATCCAATGACAACTTTCTTTGTTCAAGCAACATTTTTAAGTAAAATGAAATAACTTACAGTCAAACCCCTTTGAACATAATCAGCTGTGTCACCATCAAGTTTTGAAAGTCTCCTGTCATCATTAATAACAGGAGAAGAATCCGTAAAGTGTGGCTCTATTTCACTCCTCACTTCCTCAGGAATCTTTGACAATTTTCTCGTCTCTTTATTCATCATGACCCAAACACTTCACATTGCAAAAAATAAAACTATATGAGTAATCAACAACTTCAATACAAAGATCAATTACAACTAAGATTAAAAAAGGCGTATCTAGTTTACCCAAATTTGTTTAGATTCTTTATGGAACACACATAAGAGAACTTTCAAGTTATACAAGCCCCTCCATCATTTGTAACGAGAGTTATTCAATCATAGGCAAAACCAAAGCTGGTCAACTTTATAATTCATGGGTGGAAAAAAATCACAATACGTGTGAAGAAAATGAAAGCATATTTCATTTGAAAGGGTAAGGAAAATACCTAGAAGCTCTTGTTAAAGTGTCACCAGTTTTGCAATCATACACCAGCCAATCACGGCGCATGCCATTCTTTCCAGAAGCACTAACCCAAGTGTCCACTTGAACAGTATCACCCCTGTAAATATAGTAATCTCCAGTATCTCATGCATAGGTTCAATGAAACACATAAGCAGAGGTCATCTGAAACAGAAGACACACTATTTGCCACGCTCAAAAACTTCCACATCAAAAAGAAAAATGTATATTGAAGAGCATTCCAGTGATTTTGTTAGTCTGTAAAAAGTTCAGTATTTCTTCTATGGCTTATTGTTGGAGGGTGAAAGTGAAATCAATAGATTACATAGTTGCAAGGAAAAGTAACTCACTTCTGTTTTCGAAGTAAGATCACAACTCACAAGTGTTTTTTATTAACAATAAACACAAAAGATCACAACTGTTATAATGAATTAATCTTTAGAAGCGTATACTTCACGGAGAACTTAAATTTACCAAGTAGGGTAACGGTCTACCATAATCTGCATCTTGGTAACTACCCATATCAGGTTCTTTTTGCACATTTCTGGCGTTGAGCCAAATCCATCACCAAGTAGGCCAGCAGTTTTAACATGATTAAGGGCAGTTTCCTGCATACAAATTCAGAGAGTGGAAGAATTTAACCTCTTTCATAAGCATATATGGTCTTAAATCTAACAGCTATTCACAAAAACACAAGAATCCATCTCCAAATCCCTTCGTACCTGTAAATGATTCATTAATGTCTCTATAGAAGCTGTACGATCGGCACCTATTTCATAAGATCTAATAGAGAAGTTCTGGGTAAACACAAGACCATCCTGTACAATCCTTCCCAAACCAAATGGGTCCATAAGCATGTCAGGCCGCCTAGGTTTCCAGTCAAGCATCATCCATTGCTTCTCAGCTGCTAAAAAGATGGTTGTAATAGCCGCAAGAAGCATGCTCCAGTCAGGCAGCTGGTTGATAAAAGTTCGGGGGTGCGATGATGGGAGGTCATCTCCAGCCCTGACACCACCCACAGGTTTCACTGAGCTTCCATTTACTTGGGTAGGAGCTTGGGCATTCGTCTTCACCTGAAGACATCCAGAAGATACAGATTTTGACTTGATTCCCCCCAGATTCCCAGAGCCACCTCGAATTTTGGTGTTCTTTGCTCCAGAGTCGGGAGATGAAGAAGGAACAGGATAAAATGCGGATGTAGCAGCAGTTGCTACCATGATGAACTACAAACATCAAAATCAAACACTTCAGCATATCAACGCAATAATAGCTGCTAATAAATGAAAGATTAAAAACAACGGGAAGCGAATATCAGATTCTGCATCTTTAGTGGAAAATAACATATCGAAAACACACCCAATGAATATTAGCACCTGATCAGATAAGAGTTGAAGACAACGCAAAGAAAAATTGACGATGAAGTGTAGCAAATTCTAGACCAAAAGGTTGAAGGTCCTTATAATTGAAGGCACCCAAAAGTGGCCAATAGCAAGCAGACTACCTAAAAGAACTGTTTTCAATTCGCATGCCTACTCTGCCCACTAAACAACCAAAGACAGAGAAAAGCAGAAAGCTCATTCCGAAGTGAAGGAATAGTACAAAATCTCCTAGAAGAAACAAACACATGAACTAAAATTTTATTTATCAAAACCATGTGAGAATCGTACACTGACTTAGGGGTGTAATTATGACCTAGAAATGAGAAACTACGCATAAACACGTCGACAAAAAATAAACAGTTTCCAAAACGACGAATGTAAAGTAATTACGCGATAAAATGACTAGATAAGCACAAAATTAACTCAAAAACCAAAAATCCTACGACAACATCTTAATTTCAAACATATCGTGTTCAATTTCTCACCAAACGAAGAACACATCCTCCACATTCTCCCCAATCTCAAAAGAGAGTAATGAAATAATGTCGAATCCATACCTTGAACAACAAAAGAAAATGCTCAAACCAATGGTCTCGGAAATGGTGGCTGGAGAAACCAAATCCAGAGCAACAGAATGCAGCAAAATGGCTACAGCGTCATTACAGATCAACAATCCCTTGTTTCTCTCGTCGATTTTTAGGGTTTGCGATCTTTTCCCTCTTTTACGGAGCTCCAAAATTCGTTTCAAAAGAGAGAGAGAGAGAGAGAGAGAGAGAGAGAGGTGTATGCGAATGAGAAATCCCAAGTCCCTCGACGGGATATTAAGAAACCACCTGTCCCGGTCCCGCATTTCTTTCATATTTCCAAATTACCCCACTCCTTTTCTTTTATTTACATTTTCACCCTCCTAGTCCTTTTCTTTCAACGTTCTCTCCCCAATCACCACCATCCTTTATTATTGCTCGCATTTATAGTTGGAAATATTTATTTCCACCCCTTCCTCTCAACTTATTTTCAAAAATTCCCCACCAAATTTAAGAATTACCTTTTAACCCATCTAAGGGGTGCTTGTTTCAATTTTTAAAAAATATGATGCCGATAAAAAGTTTTTTTTATTCAATTTAATATACTAATTATTTATTGTATAATATTACTAAATATCTATTTGACAATAATTATTAATATTGATGGCTAAACGAATTTAATGCATATTATTTATCATATAATAAAAATTAAATTAAAGTTTAAGGCATATTATTATTTTATTAATAAATTATTATAATGGTAGATCTTATTTAATATAATTTATTATACCATATAAAATATAAATTAGACTAAATATTTAATATAGAAAGTTTATATAATTTTATTAAAATTATTTATTTGAGGATAATTATTTAGATTTATTATAAAATAAATTTAAAATTTAAAAATATAAAGTAGGAAGATTGAATTAAAACTTAACTAGTTAAAATTATTTTAATAACGTAAAATAGTTGAGAATAATTATAAGGTAAAATTGTTAAAAATACTTTATTTATATAATTAATAGATTATATTTAAATGAGTAGCATAATTATTTAAATTTTATTTGGATTTATTAAAAATAAAAAGAGTCATGACTGATTAAGCTAAATGATTTGGTGAGATAAAATGTTAATTATTGGATTAGGCATTGATTTCTTTTGACAAAAGTAAAATCCTTTATTTATTATATTAATCTTAGAAGCCCTATTAAAATTAATGCCAAATTAGTTGGGAAACATGGCATTGTTTCTATGGTTGATTGGAATATATGGTCTTTGTTTAATCCGGTTAATAATTTCTCAAACTAGTAGATATTTTCCGGTTTATCCCGTTACGTATCGTCGTCAGCCTCACAGTTTCTCCCCTTTAGGAGCTTAGTGTCCTCGATGGCACAGCACTCGGTGTCTAACTCTAATACCATTTGTAACAACTAAAGTCCACTGTGAGTAGATATTGTCAATTTCTGCTCGTTACGTATCATCGTCAGCCTCACAGTTTTGAAACGCATATGTTAGGGAGAGATTTAGTAAGGTCCCACATTGGTTGGGGAGGAGAACAAAACACCCTTAAAGTCTTGAGGGGAAACTTGAAAATGAAAGCCCAAAGATGATAATATTTACTAGCGGTGGATTTGGGTGTGAGATTTCCACCTTCTTATAAAAAATGTTAGCGGCACGGTGACGGTGACTTATGAATGTTTAATTACAACATATATTCTAAGTAAGATTTTATTAAATAATTTTTTTTTTTAATGAACAAATATTTGATACAACTTAGCCTAATGGGAAAATAAAGGGTAAGGTTGGGTTATGAACTCTATTACAGTTATTCGAGTCACCAACCAAACCAACTCGAAATTTTGAGTGGCTAAAAAAAATTTTCCAATCGAACTCCGGTATGCTCCTACTATAATATTTAAAAAAATTATAAATCTTAGTTTTTTTAGACTAAGTTCATGGCGAAAAGTGCATTTAAGTCCATAGAATCTAAGAAATCGGTACAATAAATATTGGTCATTGAGACCATATATTATACATGTGAAATTTGAAGGTGACATGTTTCCATATGAACCATTTATTTGTGGTGCATTGAAAGCAAACCAATGAAGTTATGAAACTTTCCATAATGTACCATTTTCATTTTTTGTTTTCTTTTTCTTTTCATGGGGTTTTGCTCGTTTAAATGCCTCACATGTGTAATTAATGCTTGTTATTTGTCCAATTGAGCTCTATATGCTCGACAAAGGGAGGAATATTAGGATAGATTTACAAGTGAATACAAGTAAGATTATCTTTATGAGATTCCATATTGATTGGGAAGAGGAACGAAACATTATTTATAAGGGTCTAGAAACTTCTCCCCGCACTTTAAAACTTTGAGGAAAGTCCAAAGATGACAATATTTGCTAACGATAGGCTTGGACTATTACAAATGTTATTAGAGCCAAACACTGGGCAGTGTGCCTACGAGAACGCTGGACCACGAGAGGGGTAGATTGTAAGATCCCACATCGATTGGAGAGAAGAACGAGTACTAGCAGCTAAAGGTAGATTGTGAGATCCCACATCAATTGGAGAGAGGAACAAAACATTATTTATAATGGTATGAAAACCTCTCTTTAGCATAGTGTTTTAAAACTTGAAGGAAAGCTCTAACCATTTTTTTAAGGGTGTCGAAATCTCTCTCTAGCAAACGCACTTTAAAACTTTGAAGGGAAGTCCGGAAGAGGAAACACAGAAGGGAAAGCCCAAAATGGAGAATATCCCGAGCAAGTCCTAAGCATCATTCGTTATAAGGGTGTGGAAACCTTTCTCTAGTAGATGCCCTTTAAAACCTTGTGACGAAACCCGAAGGAGAAAGCTCAAAAAACTCGTTGTCTGAAATAACCCGAGCGCCAGAAAACAAATAAGCAAAGATTTGCATGTATTATATATAACCAGCAATTTGGCAAAAGAAGAATTCTATCATATAATCCATTAGGAATCAATGTTCATATGGTAATGTACACAAAACATTGAGAAAAACATGAACATTGCTCCTCTTTCCCAATCATTCCAAACACAAAAACACCACAAATCCCATAAAGATTGCAACCAGAAGATCTAGAAATGAAGAAGAAGAAGAGTTGTAATCGATCATAATAGGGAACTGGCAGTTCCCATAAGAAGGATCTTGTTCAGTCACCATAGCCAAACCAGAGAACTCACAGTTCCATCTTTTTTGGCTGTTCATTTGATAGTACATATTAAACGCATAAGAAGCATTTCCTTCAGCAGTTAATTGATTGCATGAAGATCCATATTCCAAAGCAGTGCAATCTGATAAGCTACAAGCATAATCAATATTATCAGCCAATCCTTCCCAATCCTTCACATTTGGGTTCAAAACACACCATTTTTTATCCATATATTTCACTCCTTCTACTGCTATTAACCCCTTTTCTTGTTCTGTTCCTGACAGATCTAGTTCATATTTTGGCTTACCATCGAATTCAAAGATTCCCCAATGCCTTTCAAAGCTTCCTGGCTCTATGCTTTTGGCATTTTCATCAATCAAGCTGAAGAGATAGACGTCAATTACACCGACTCGAGCTGGCGTTCCCTCCCCACTTAGAGCGTGTCTCAACAATCCTTGGTTGAATCGTTTGGCGTCTTGGATATTGGCGTGTTTGTCGCCGTCCGTTGGCCACCCGATTTCCCCTACTATGATCTTCATGTCAGGATATCCTGCTTTCGTTAGAGCAGAAACGAGCGTGTCGAAATTGGCATCGAACACGTTGGTGTAGGTTAGATCTCCGTCTTTGATGGGCTTGTATGTTCCACCAAAGAATGCAAAGTCTATAGGGAAGTAGTCATTGCCATAGAGGGAAAGGAAGGGGTAGATATTGACTGTGAAAGGTGCATTGTTTATGGATAGGAAGTGCAGAATCTCGATCGTTAAGTCTCGGACTTCGGGCCGAAAATCGCCTGCAGATGGAACCGGGTTTGAGTCCGGGGAGTTGTAAATATCAGCATTGAAAGGAATAGTAGCTTTGACCTTTGATCCAAGCCCTGCATCATTTAAGGCTTGCTGGATATTCCTCAGGGCAGGCAATGTTAACTGAAGATAAGTGCCATTGTAGGACTTCAGAAAGGGCTCATTGCCTACTGCAACATACCTGCAAAACAATTTTTCAATTGAACTTTATGCCTCAGCCTTCATAAAATGCATTAACAAATCTCAACTCTTTCATCCATTTCAAGGTTGTAGCCCAAACTCACCGTTAACAGATAATGTCTTCTTTGGGCTTTCCTTTTCAAACTTCTCTTCAAGGTTTTAAAAACATGTTTGCTAGGAAGAGGTTTCTACACCTTTATAAAGAATGTTTCGTTCTCCTCCCCAACCAATGTGGGATCTCACAATCCACTTCCTTCAGGGCCAGCGTCCTCGCTGGTGCTCGTCCCCTTCTCCAATCAATGTGAGACCCCCCAATCCACCCCCATTTGGGGCCTAGTATCCTTGCTGGCACCCACCTCGTGTCCACTCACCTGGGTTTAAGCCTCCTCGCTAGTACATTGCCCTGTGTCTGGCTCTGATGCCATTTGTAACAGCTCAAGCTCACCGCTAGCAGACATTGTCCCTCTTTGAGTTTTCCCTCAATGTTTTTAAATCGCATCTACTAGGGAAAGGTTTCCACACCTTTATAAAGAATGTTTTGTTCTCCTCCCCGACCGATGTGGGATCTCACAACCCACTTCCCTTCAGGGCTAACATCCTCGTTGACACTCATTCCCCTCTTCAATCGATGTGGGACTCCCAATCCACCCCCTTCGGAGCCCAACATCTTTGTTGGCACGCCGCCTCATGTCCACCCCCTTTGAGGCTAGCCTATTCGTTGGCACATCGCCCAATGTCTAGCTTTGATACCATTTGTAACATCTCAAGCCTACTGCTAACGGATATTGTTCTCTTTAGGCTTTCTCTCAAGGTTTTTAAAACGCGTATGCTATGGAAAGGTTTCCACACCCTTATAAAAAATGTTTCGTTCTCCTCCCCAACTGAAGCGAGATCTCGCACAAATATAGAACTAAACAAAGAAAATGGAGAAAGAAACAGATTGGTATTCAATGAATTGATCTAAAATGAAAGCAGCAGCAGAAACAGAGGAAACCATGAAGTGGGAATTTCATCAAACACCTAAAGTGCACAAAATAAAACACAAAAGGAAAAGTTCATAAAGTAAGATCAAGAATCTTCAATACTCAACTTGATATTAACACCACCATGATAAGTATAAGCAGTAACATTGGCATCCACCCAAGAAGCAGCAGCCTTAGAATCGTCACTCATAATTTGCAGCATTGAATTAGGAAGAGCCAACATAACTTCAATATCAGTTCCAATAAGCGCTTCCAAAATCCTATCCTCAGCTTCAAAGAGCTTCAATTTAAGAAACCCATTTTCTTGAAGCATTTTAACAACTTTCTCTGGTGGGAGCTGGTGAGTCGCCATAGTTCCCCAGTTCACTCCAACAGTTTCCCCATTTGGGATAATCGTCAAGAACAACAAAAGAATTGTTCTGAATGTGAAATTCCTGTGGATTTGAAGTCCAGACTTCGACATTCTTTTGCTTCTTTGAATCGGAATCTTTGAATAAAGAAGGAATCAAGAAAGGAGGAAGAAATAAGAGGTCTGTTTGGAGATTCAGAGGAGCTTCATGAGGAAGGAGAAAAAATGGAGTTTAATTTCAGAGAAACAAAAAAGGATAGGAAAAAAAAGATTCGTTACTTATTTCAGTTATTCAGTTATGGCTGCAATCGCACGTTGGTTCTTATTTTTGTAAGCAGCTCAATAAAATAAAAATAATTAAAATAATAAATCAAAACAAAAATATTTACATGTCCCTACCCAATTCACTACCGTGCTTTCTTTTATTTATTTATATATATTTTTTAGTGATATAATATTGAAATTTAAATTTTTATGAATTATGCTGGTATAATATTATATTATTTTTTTTTTTCGTTTATAAAATATGATTGAATTTATTTGATTGTTATATATTTTTTAAGCAAAAATTAAGAATTAAAAATATTATTTTAAATGAATTTTTTTTAAAAGAAGGGAAGATTTCAAGTATTGAAGTTTAACAATAATGGTAAGTCGGTGGCTACTTAAGGAAACTCCGATTGCCCCTATCTGGGAGGCGTCTACCTCATCCCGATCACAAGGGGAGGTTAATTCCTCTGTAAACCGATCGCTGGTTGATCTGATCAAACTCAGGACACACGAGAGCCCAACTTAGGAGGACGAAAAGGACACTCTACAAAAAGTCGATCCATGAAACCTCTCTATGACAAATCTCTACTCAAATCTATGTGAAAATAAATTGAGAATCTTACGGGGATGATGATTGAAATAGTTGGCAAAGACCAAGACACGAAGGAACTAATTAATTAATTTTCATATTCAAAATATTAAAAATCATTTAAAAGAAACATATTATAAATATAAAATTTATCATTATGACTAATTAATTAATAATGCAAATTGTGATTATCAAAAATGGAAAAAATGAGTAATTTTGAAGACGAGTTGAAAAAGAGTGCTCCAAGTTGCAGACTTTCCAGGCAATGTCTACGTGGAATGTTTTCATCTAATCTCTCTCGCTTTGGTTTCTTTCCCAAAATACATCCTTTTATCATTGCAAAAGGAGGAAGAATAAATGGATCAATCAAAAGCTAAAAGAGATTGCCAATCTTTTCATAAAGTAAATGACCAATTTTGATTTCAAATCTCATCATATAAAAAATAAAATAGTTTTTTTTTTAATAAAGTCGAAAGATAGGTTGACTAAAAGTCGACTTCCCACAAAAAGATATAACACACGTTAACTTCCGTTAAATATATCTCTAAAATGTTTCAACTTTTTTCTCATAATTCATATTTTTATTTATTTATATAAGTCATTTAAATCATAATCATAAATTTCTATTTACGAGATTCCACCGATCCAAACCAAAATGAATATTTAAAGGTACCTAAACCAAAATGAACCAGTGCTAGAGGATACAATAACAAAAATTAACGTTTTGAATGACAGTGACCGATATGAACCAGAGCTAGAAATATAGAGACTAAAAACTTGTCTACTCGAACATATACCTAGCTTGTACATCTATATCTTGTTAACGACTATGAATTACGAACTCAGAACTAAGAAACTTACCACATATGAATCTGAAAACTTGGCTTAGTAAGCATCCCGACCGACTGCAACGGATACGATTCAGCTAGCTAACTCTTCGTTGAAGCATTGTTGTGGAAGCCTAAAGCTTAAACAATACATTGCCTATCAAAACAAAAAATATAAGAAGTTAAGAACAATGGAAGTTTGATTGGGGCCTCTTTTGTTTTAGTTCTTGTATGCCCTAATTTGTTCCTTGGTTTTTCATAAACAAAATAAGTTTAAAGAACAAATAGAGAGCAATACCTTGTTTGGTGCAACATCTCTGACTCTATGAAAAATAGGGTCTTGGATTTTAGCATTCAAGGCAGACTCGGCCACCTGGAATGAACAGTTATGAAGATAGCATGAGAAGAAAGATGATGTTGCTAGACGAATATCAAAATAGGAGTCTGAACATACCGAAATGATGAACTCTTGATTCTCATTTGCTCGCATGAAGCAATAACAGTGAATCCAAGGGAGGGAGCCCTTCCAGTACTTCAGCGGAATCGAGCCCCTAAATGCATCTGGTAAGAAAATTCCAAAATATGCCTCTGGTAAGAAAATGGTAGCATACTAATATTGTAACCGCCAATCTCTCGCTTTGAGCTTTTCTTTCTATGTTTCCCCTCAAGGTTATAAAACGCTGCTAGGGAGAGATTTCAACACTCTTATAAAAAATATTTCATTCTCTTCTCCAACTGACGTGGGATCTCACAATCTATCCTCCTTCGGGACCCAACGTTCTTGCTGACACACGGTCTCTTGTCCACCCCCTTCGGGGTTCAGCTTCCTCGCTGGCACATCGCTCGATATCTGGCTCTAATACTATCTGTAACAGCTCAAGCCCACCGCTAGTAGATATTGTTCTTTTTGAACTTTCCCTTCCGAGATTTCCCCTCAAGGTTTTAAAATGCGTCTCTTAGAGAGAGGTTTCCACACCCTTATAAAGAATGTTTCGTTCTCCTCTCCAACCGATATGGGATCTCACAAATATAAGGTCTCCATTCGTGTAAGCTTCAATTGATGCTCTCTTTCTATATATCTCCGTAGAAGATGAGAAATTCTCCCTCAGTCAAGAGCTAAGAGAGATTGAAGAAACTCTACAATCGGTATCAACCACGAAGGGAGAGTGTTTACAGAATCTTGAATAGAGAACTTCATTTGAAAGGTGGGTAAAGATGACATATCTCAAACATCTCCACCATTGTGCTCGAAAGAAAAGAAAAAAAAATCTCTGATTTCCCTTCACATCTGAACGACCCGTGTGAGATCCCAAATCGGTTGGAGAAGGAAACGAGTGTCAGTAAGGATGCAGGGCCCTAAAGGAGGGTGAATTGTGAGATCCTACATCGGTTGGAGAGGGGAACGAAGCATTCTCTATAAGGGTGTGGAAACTTCTTAGATCCCAGACACATTTTAGAAACCTTGAGGGGAAGCCTGAAAGGGAAAACCTAAACAGGATAATATCTACTAGCGGTGGGTTTGGGACGTTACAATCAAAGACTTATTGTTTCCCTTTCCATAATTTTCCCTCTAATCTCATACCGGCAGAGGTGGGCTAGCTAACATTGATAATTTCCCAAGTTTCAATTCTTCCTCCAACATTAAAAAATGTATAGGAATATGCATAACAACCACGACAAGGTAAATGAAATAAACCCGAAAAAAAACGTTCATACCGAGAAACTGTAAGGCAGAAGCAGGGAGGTTCATAATCACATGATCAACATGCTCCCAGGTCTTAGCATGAGATATTTCGGACCCCTTCAACCTCTTGTTACTGTTTCCTTTTCTCTTACCAGCTACACAGATGGAAGCATCATCAGCTATTCCATTATCTGCACCGCAAATTATAAGAAGAGATGATCTTTCATTGTTCAATCACAAGATATAGTGATGAATTTTTTACCTTTCTCACAGCAATCTGAGGATCTTTTAAGAGCAGCAACAGATACATCAGCACTCCTTGAGCCTTCTACACTTTCATCGCTAGTTTTAACACTACCATGGACTTCCTCCACCTGAACTGAAGCAAGAATGAAAATTAAGATCGACGATACACAATCTCTATTATGAAAATTTCCTTCAATGATGATACTAAGCGGTCCCTCCGATACCTTTCTCACAAGCTTTTAACACCGAGGCAACAGATTCAGAATTACATTCATTGTCTGGCACGGTCATCAATTGAGAAATGAACTTCCTAGCGTCCAAATTATGAACATGAACACGATCACCGACTTTATTGATTTCTGCATTAATCTTCAGATATCGAACACTATCCGGGTTCAAGTCATTGGCATATACTATACAGCCTTTCTGGGCAGCTGGAATAGCAAAAGGACCAATACCGGCGAACATGTCACAAATTATCTCTCCTGGTTGGAACAGTGAAACCAGTCTTATGTGTTCATGCTCTAACCTTGAGTTCCAGTAGACCAAACTGTAGTCAAGCTTAAAAGTTGCTCCATATTGTTTCACTTCTGTTTCCATATCATTCTCTCCCTTCAGAACTTCAAACTTTGGAACCCGAAACTCATTTGTTATCGACCCCACCTTATTTACCACTGTTTTAATTCTCGGATAATTTTTCTGCAATTAGATTTTGAAAAGAAATAATTACAAACGAATAACCGAGCATAGTTCAACGATTAAAAATTTTCAACTCTCTACTAGAGAGGTAGGTTTCAACCTCCATACCCCACGTAATAATCAAAAGAATTAGTTATAGAAAAGTTATTATAGGGAAAATGAGGGGGAAAGGGACCAACAATGGCACTAAAAGCAATAAAGAAATCTGATTCTTGCTAAATCATTAGCACGCCCTCGCCCTCAAACACGGACGCAGACACAAAGTATGAGATCCCACATCGGTTGGCTAGGAGAACAAAACATTCTTTATAAAGGTGTGGAAACTTCTCTCTAGGAGACATGTTTTAAAAACCTTGGGGGGAAACCCAAAAGGGAAAGCCCAGAGAGAACAATATCTACTAGTGGTGGGCTTAGGCTATTATAAATGGTATCAGAACCAAACATCGGCCAATGTGCCAGTAAGGAGGCTGAATCCCGAAGGGGGGCGGAATGAGGTGGTGTGCCAGCAAGGACGTTAGGCCACGAAGGAGGTAGATTGGGGGAGTCCCACATCGATTGGAGAAGGGAACGAGTGTCGATGAGAACGTTGGGCCAGGGGGTGGATTGTGAGATCCCACATCAGTTGGGAAGGAGAACGAAATATTCTTTATAAAGGTGTAGAAACCTCTCCCGAGGAGACGCGTTCAAAAAATCTTGAGGGGAAATCCGAAAGGGAAGCCCAAAGAGGACAACATCGGTTAGCGATGGGCTTGAGCTATTACACAAAAACACTTAAAAGCATTGAAAATGAAGTAACAAATATAGTATAATGATCATTTATTCACAATTTACGTTTCAAATTCATTGGAAAAAATGAGTAAATGGATCTTGATGACGTACATCATAAATAACCTTCGCAATGACTTCCTTATAAGGGAGCAATTCGTCGTGTATATTAAGGTGAGCTACGTGACCTGTAAAATCACAGAACAACATCACCTCACTGTCAATAGTTGTAATAAAGAACACAGAATAATGCTGACCTAAAAGCCATATAGGAGAAGAAAAGAATGCACGTAAAAGCTATAAAGAGCACAAGCAAATGTAAGGTAGAAAGGAAAAGGAAGGCAAAATATGGCAATGGCTTGAGTGCTTAACTATTGTTTCAAAAGATGATGGCACTTCCACTCCATGAGGCAGAATCTGCTTCAGTACATGATCTACATAAGAGCCACACGGTAAGTTAGCCGGCCATAAACAAAATGGACACATCAAATGTCAAGTAAATGCACATATATAGTAGTTTAAACTATCACTGAAAAGTAGACACGGTATATGCAATCATCATAATATCAAACCGTCAAAGACAACATGGGTTCATCAGCCCATCTGCAGCAACATACAACACTTCCCGGACAGGAAGTCGAGACCAAGGTCATGACATGATGTTTTTACGCAATGAAAGGTCCCAACATGATTGCTTGTGTTTGCATTTTCCGACCCCAATAGTGAGACTACTTACTGAATATTTCTTAAAATACTCAAGTCATGTGCTACTCTTATTTTTCAAGTTAAGGTAAGACATCCCTATACGGAAAGCAACGTTATAGTAAAGGTCATGGGACCAAACCTAGAGTAGTAGGTTTTAGCAGCCCTCAGGTTAGATCAGGGCATTGTCTCGTTTTTATATTCAAATTCATATTATCTATTTTCCGCTATGTTGTTCATAACAATATTGTTTTAATGAATTTATTATAAACGTTTACGTCCATGGCATCGTTATGAAATATTTTCACAAACTTTTACACACAAATTAGACATGTCATGTATGTAGTGACATCTCTATTTTATAAAGAAAAATAGGGTCGTTACACACAATGCGTCAAGTCAAACTTGCACGATGCATAAAATAAAATATGAGATTATTGAAACTACCTGTTCCCCAATAAGAATATCCAAGAGTTAGTGAATAAGGAACTAGTTCAATCTCGCATAAACCTTTCAGCTCTTCAAGCTTCATTTCTGGAATTTCGGACAACTCTGAGCCATTCAAAGAATCACAACAAAGAATAAGGTGTCATCTATTACATGGTCGATGAAATTTCCATAAAAAAAAGGACTAAAAAGGGAAGAAGAAACGTAGGATGCCATTTTAAAGAGCTTTGGCTCACAGAAAGTCTTATTAAAGAGCATAATGAACAGAGAAAACCAAGTCAGTAAGTGCAATGACAGAGAATTTTACCTGTAGATTGAACTTTTTCCGATAATATAACATACCGATTCTTATCACATGTTGGATCTTCCGTCACAGGTTTAATCCGGGGCCTATCAATTAAGTACCTAGAAAGTTTACAAAATAAACGAAATGAGACCGAAGAACAATCTACCTTCAAAATGAAAGGCAATATCGAAACAATATTTTCAAGAAAATAGAGATTGTCGAACTCGGATGAGAACGATGAACAGTTCAACTAAGAAACGAAGAAATGTACAATTAAGAAACTAAGCAACAAAAAACAAGACGTACCCGTTCAGTATTTTAATGGCGGATTTACAGAGTTCCCTGGGAATTCTTAGCGCCCAGAGTTTCAAATGCACATCGAATTTGCTTTCGTCCAACATTGGTCGATTTACAAGTTCGATTTTCCTCAATACTCGATAGTACAACAAAAAAAAAAAACACCGAACTCAATAAGAATTTCAGATCAGAATAGAACAATTATCGTCCTCCGGCAATAAAAAAAACTGAAAATAGATGAATAAGCTCGGAGATTTTCGCTGGGAACAAACAAAATCAGAATGGAGATTTTCACTGGTAGTGGGGAAGATTCTGAACGCAAACTGTCGCCGGAGACTTGAGTTAAGACGGCGGCGACGGGACTAGGGTTTAAAGCTTAAGCAATCAGTTCTCTACTTGGTTACACGGCGTCGTTTTGAGTTAACATGAGATTTGGGCTGAACCGCCGGGGCCCATGAGCAGTAAGTTGGGTTGGGCTCTTCACAGTATAGTTGATATTTTTTAAAAAAATATAAAAAATCAATTCGATTTATTAAAATTAATAGGTAATCCATTTCTCGACTAAATTTGACAAAAATTATTATTATTTGATTTATGTTTATATTATTGATTCTTTTTTTACTGTTTTTTTTTAATGGTTACCATTGTTGGACGATGAAAGTCCATCAACAAATTGAAGGAATGATCGTGGGTTTATAAACAAAGAGTACTCTCTCCGATTTGAAGCCGTTTGGGAAACTCAACGTAAAACCATGAGAGGTTATGCTCAAAGTGGACAATATTATACCATTGTAGAGAGTCGTATTCATCTAACATGGTATCAGAGTCATGCCCTAAACTTAGGTGGCAATAAATTGGTAAATTCTCAAACATCGAACAAAGGACTCCAAAAGAAAAGGAGTCGAGCCTCCTCGAAGGCACAGAAAAAATGACTAAAACTTCAAAGGAGTCGAGCCTCGCTTGAGGGGAGGCGCACTTTGTTCGAGGGGAGGTGTTGGATGATGAAAGTCCTACATCGATTAATTTAGAGAATGATGATGGGCTTATAAACAATGAATACTCTCTCAATTGGTGTGAGGCTTTTGGGAGCCCAACGCAAAACAGAGCTTTGAGCTCAAAGTAGACAATATCATAACCGTGAGAGTCACAGCCTTATATATTTTTGAGATTTAAGATTTTAATTTTAAAAAAAAATTAATTTATCAATATACTAATAAATTAAAACGGAAAAAATAGTTTTTTTTTTTTTTTTTTTTTAAATAACTAATGTTTTTCTATTAAAAGTTATGAAAAATGTTCACTGACTATTAAAAAATACCCTATTTTTAAAAAAATATTTGAAAGTTGAAAGGTTATTTTTTAAACACATTTTTTAAATTTTTTTCAAGGTTTGACTACATTTCTTAGATTTATTTAAAGTTTGAAGATATTATTAAAAAAAATTTAAGATATTTTTATTAATTTATTTGTAATCATAGTTCTTGAAAATTGTAATTTTCTAATAATATTTCCAATTCTGTTGCCCAGTTCTTTATCGCACAATCATCAGATTAAAATTAACAGAAGTTCAATTCCTCCAGAATTAGACACTAATTTCTACAAACGAATCCATGAAGACGAGAACTAATCCCTACAACCATGTCTTTCCATTGATGAAATTAATTTCATAAATAAGATTCAACAAATGATTCTCGATCACAGAGTCCGATTTCAGATTTGTACAAAAGAAAACCTAAATTTCTCATCAGTTTATATACAAGTATCCGTCGAATGAAATTCGTCAACGGTTCAATATCACAGTAAAATTAGAAGGAAAAAACAAATCAAATTCGAAGAGAAAACTCGATTTAGTTTTGCTTGCCTTCAATTTGTCTCTCCCCTGCCGATTCAAGAGGAATCTGCTCGAAGCGGACGAATCATAGCGCTGCGTTTTAACATTTGGTGCGAAATCAAACCGAAACTCCGACTAAACATTTCTCCACTCCAATTCGTCAAGAATCGGAGTTAAATTCCGATCGGAGGCTCTTGCGAACCAAACAGAGCGTTGATCGTCGCGTTCAGAGGCGGAAAACAACAATCGACGGTGGAGTTAAGAGATTTAATCATGAATATCGCGATCTTGCCAACATAGAAGCATGGAGATGCAACGGCCAAGGATATAGAATCTGGTTTTCTGTTGCTTGATCATCCGCAAGCACCGCTTTCGAAAACTGGTTTTCCGGCAGGTTCTGAGGCGGAGTTGCGCTGACTGAGAAGAGAGTGCGGTGGACATGAGGGGAAACACCGGTGGCCGGAGGAAAATGAGAAGAAGGAATTGTGAAGAAGGACGGAATTGGGGAATGGAGGTCGAGGAAATGGCGTGTATTTATAGAGAACATAGGGGCCTGAGCCCTGAAGTTTACGCTGTCGCCACTCGTATTCATTTTAAGGCCTTTTTCCTTCCTTTACTTAAAATAGTCCCCAGATTGTGATGTCAGCTTGTGGACAAAAAAATATTCACCAATTGACATTATTGCCCTTCCATTTGGATTCATTGTTCTCTTTATTATTATTATTATTTTAAATAAAATAATGGTTATAGTTAATATGGTTGTAATTTGCAAACGGTCCATAATTATAAATTCTTTAGCCACACAACTTATCATAATTTTTCCATTAACTTTTTTAAAATACTTGCATATTTTAAAATAGTTATTTTTTCAACCACATAAAATCGTAGGTAAAAACCTATCCCTAGTAAACTCGTTTTAAAGTCGTGAACCTAATGACGATACGTAACGAGCCAAAACAGACAATATCAACTAACGGTGGGTTTGGGCTATTACAAGTTTCCATTCATTAAATCTTTTTGGTCGAAGTATAATATTTTAACCAGTTGACCTATCATTGACGATTAATTTTTTTTATTTTAATGATTGATTTGACGCAATATTATGGAGATTTTATTTAAAATTCTTGTAATATCTCTTCTTTAATTAAAAAAGAAAGGGGTATTTTGGTCAAAAGGAGAAACAAAAAGTCTGGTCAAAAAGAATAAAAGGAGAGGAACCATGTAGGAAGGTGACAAGAGCGTGGGCCCCATGTTAGAAGCCTTTCGCTATCGTCCAACGTGGCACTTGACTTTATTAAACCCACGTGGAATTTCGGCCACTGTCGGCTTGTGAGTGCCGCCTTTACTACAAGAGGGAAAAAATAAAATAAAATAAAATAAAATAAAAAATAAAAAGCTTCGTCGTCGGTAAAATATAAAAAATAAAGAATTGGGTCGAATCAGCATGGGGTCATAAAAGCAAGAGTCGTCAAAAACAACCGTCCCCTTACCCGTGTTTTTTTGGTAAACATTAAAAATTATAAATTAATAATTACATTATTTAAATCTTTTACATTAATAATATTTTGAGTATATATTTTAATATTATTTTTTTATGATTGGATTGGTATGATATTTTATTTTATTCTGAGTTTATATTTTTTTTATTGGAAGATGTTAGTTGTTTAAAGCCTATGTATATCAATGAGAATATATACCTTCGATTCCAATTTTATTTTTATTTTTCATTCTTAACATGATATCATAATCCTGCTCTAAACTTAATCGTGTTAATAGATTGATAAATCATCAAATGTTGAACAAAGGACTCCAAAAGAAAAAAGGAGTTAAGTCTCCTCGAAGGCATAGTAAAAAATGACTAAGACTCCAAAGAAGTCGAGACTCGATTAAAGAGAAACGTACTTTATTCGAAGGGAGGTGTTGAATGATGAAAGTCCCACATTCGCTAATTTAGGAAATGATTATGAATTTATAGTCACATTAGCTAATTTAGGGAATAATCATGAGTTTATAATCAAAGAATACATATCTGAGCTTATTGTCAAAGTGGATAATATCATACCATTGTGAAGAGTCATGTTTGTCTAGTACTTTCCATTTAAAAATCAAGTTTAAATTAATTAATTTAAGAGATATTATAAATAAATAGAATCTTAATTGATACGTATGAACGGAAGTTTGTCAAGTAGAATCTGAATTGATAGAATTATTAATTTAATGTTTTATTGATACAACCTCTCTCCACTAATTAAAGGTATTCATTTATTTTTCCTATTATTTAATTAATCTATTTTTTTTTTTAATTCAACACAAATGTGGAGATGACCCTTTCTTTTTCTTTTTTATTTTTTAAATAGCCAGAGAGATGACCCTTGGACTTAACAAAAAGTTGTTTAGTTATTATATATTTGAAATAAAATTAATCTGAAACTTTGGAGTATTTAAACTGAAAAATATAAATCATTCTTATTATTACCATGCAATAAATTAAACTTTTTGTTAGATGAACACGAATCTCCACACTCTTCGAACAAAATACGCCTCCCTTTAGTTATTTTTTATGATATTTTTGTTCAACATTTGAGAATTTGATTGGCATGGCTAAGTTTAAGGCATTTTCCACTTTGAGCCTAAGCTATTATGGCTTTGATTTGGATTTCTAAGGCCTCATACAGATGGAGATAGTATTTTTTCATTATAAACTTATGATCATTACCTACCTTAAGTGATGTGGGACTTTGTCAAACAAATTTAAAAGATAAAAAAAAGGAAAAAAATATTAAAAATATGGTAATTACCGTTAGATTCTAAATTTTAAAAAGAAAAAAAGGAAGAGGAAAAAGATTCTAACGTGAAACAATTGGGCAACTTGGGGTGGCATTTGGGTGTGTAGATTAAAGGAACTTAGAAGGCAGCCCCCACAAAATTCCAATGGGATGGAGGAAATTCCCTCAGCTGCAAAAGCTGGAAGGAGATATGACTGGCTAGTCAAAGTTACCATCCCACCGTCAACATCAAGGCTAATCCTTAATTTTCTAGGGCCCACATTAAGATATCATCCACCCCCTCAACAACAACAATTATCACTTTAATTAACTAAATGATTATTATAATCATGAGATGGGATTTTCAAGAAATCATAAATTATTTAAGACATTCTCACGTCTCACCACAAAAACACAACAACTATTTGTTTTATTAAATAAAAAAAAGGAGGGGACAATTCTCTCTTTTAATAAATTTTTTATTATTAATTATTATCATTATTATATTTAAATATGAGTTCATAGGAGCTCAAACTCACGGCTCGCTAGCCGATATTGTCTTCTTTGGAATTTTTTATTTCTGGCTTTCTTTCAAGATTTTTAAAATACGACTACTAAGAAGAGATTTCTACACCCTTATAAAAAATGTTTTATTTTCTTCTCCAA